TTATTTGGCAAAGGCTTGGCCAGACACTGATAAGTTTGGAGTTCTGTGCTCTAGGACAGAGCGTGCAAGTTGCAAGTGAAATCCAACTTTGGTTAAATCTGCTTTGCTTTAAATAACCATAGCATGTTTTTTAAAACCCGAAAGAATAGTGGGACAAGAAGACATTTGTGTCTGAGCTTCTTCTCCTTTTCCCCCTTTCTACCAATCTTACTTGATGCTAATACACTGGGAAATTCATATTTGGCACATGGGATAAATCCTGATAAAACATTATCCCCATGTACTTGTAGCCATAATGGGCTAGCTACTCTAAAAAGAAAAAAGAAAAAAAAAAAAAAAAAGCGCTAGTCCTGGAAATTAGACCTGCCCAGGGCTGGGCAGGCCAACTTTTTAATTCCTGAAAACATTCAAGATTTTCATTCCTGACTTAGTTGTCTGTATTCTGTTTTCTTTCTCCTTTTGTGTTAATCCCTATTTATTTTTTCTCCTCCTCTTTTCCCTCATCCTTGCCCTGAAGTGTTCCTCGGCTTTATATATTGAGTTTCACTTGGCATGCCAAAAATCTGCTGATGAATACCACTTGTATGAAAGTTGCATGCAAGCTTTCCTTTTGTGAGAATGGTTTATATGAAATCCAAGTGGTATGAAGCATTTAGAACTTGTTAGTGACTTCAAGCTTGAATTTTTAGTTGTGTGCCTACAATAGTTGCAGTTTCCATCAGCAGCACACTTAGAGAGGAGCATTAAAAACTGTCCTTGAATTTCAAGTGTAGCGTGCTGTTTCGAGTGTATCTAGAGCTATAGCTAGCCTCATCATGAATTTCCATGCAGATGCTGGAGAAGTCCCCTCCCAGCCTGCCCCGCATTTCACACAATTTCAAAGTCTTTGCCTTTGGAAGTGCATCAATTTTGCGATTGTATGAGAGTTTCTTTTGCAACTGTCCTTGGCTGTCAGGGCCCAGCGTGGCTCTGTAGCGAAGGGAAGCTTACAGAAATGTAGTAACTCTTTGACTGTGTTTACATATCCCGTTTGTTAACCATTACAGATTCACAGAGGGAAAAATCTAGACGCAGCCTCATTCGGCAGGGTGCAGATTTGGTGCCTTCCTCTACAAGTTCAAGGTGGTGTGTGTTAGCGGGACACAAAAGGCTTAATTTCTGAATTTCCCCTCGCCCCCGACATGGTTAATCTTTTGGAAGGCCCCTTTTGTGTTTTTGTTCAGGCAATTGATGCAAAAACGAAAGTTTCTTAAATCGGGATATGCAGGGAAGATTTGAAATAACATACGGATTATATAATTAATTCTCAGTTGTAAATTCATTTTGATGGAGTTGATTCTTTCCCAGAGGCTGAAGTAGTTTTGGTCCACCCACAGTGCTGTAGTCAGCCAAGAAATAAGGAAGAAAGAGGCCTTGAGGGAGTGGCAGTTTCACGACTGGTTTTAGAAAACAATATACGAGAAACAGGCAGGATATTTTATTTTTAATTCAAGTAAAAGCTTCTCAGCTGTGATTTTGAACCGTGGGGGTATCCACATTTGCTTTTAAGGTAGCCATTGCATAATACATTGAGACAAATGAGTCCAAAAGACGTCAGAAACAAATGATAGCCAGGGAGGATAGAGCATATTGTCCAGGTTGCACAAATGGGAAAGTGTGTGGAGTGGAAGACGTACTTGGGATTATTTTTGCGTCTTCCACAAACGTGGTGCTGCTCAGATATAGCTTTCTGTGTGACAGTTGCCCATTTGTTAATCAATATGGAGCAGTGACTGTCTTCCTGATGGGCGTATGAACTCTTGTTCTGCTCCCGACAGCGTTTTGTGAGCTGCTGGCTTCAGAAGGCATATGTGGCACTCCAAAATCTGAAATGGTTTAGAAAATCACACATTTATCGTACTTCATTTGTCTGCTGCGCTCTTGCTTAACCAGTGACCTAATCGTGCTGTATGTGTGTTTAGACTGTAGATTATCAGAACAAAACAATAATGACAACAAAGAAAAGACATTGACAGATTTCCAGCATTTTCGAATGTTTCTGCACGAGTATTGAAATGCATAGTACCGGAGCGGTAGCCGGCCGTTTTACTTTCTAATACTTGATATCCTTTATGAGGCTTTCTAATAGCAGATTGTCTCTGCCGTTTGCTTTGCTAGGTTTATTTGGTATTATAAATGAAAAATGCTATTGTTTAGGAATGATTTTAGTATGCACTAGGTTTAAAAAAAAAAACAAACAGCGATCCAAAGCTGGTAGGGGTTTCTCTTTTATTTTTTTAGGCTGCTTGGTTGCTGCAACAGAAGTTATGTTGTATTTCTTAAACTGCATTATCACCACATTTCCAAGCTCAGTCAAAGATGCGTAAATGAAGTCAGCATGATGCAGATAGAGTTGTTGGATGATCTTTCTTGCAGCTCTGGGTAGCAGGAGTAGGCTTGCCCTGGAATATCACGTTATATAAAATACCTCTTTGTCTGAATTTGGACAAAATGAAATTCTCCCTGGCTGGGTCTCCGTGAATTGTTCCCAAAGTTTGACTCGCAGGTTTGGTGCGTTAAAGCCAAGTTATGACTAAGGGAACGTTGTACCATTCTAGTGAGTGAGGAGTTAAAAATAATCCTAATGTGTCATTTACATTTTAGCCTAACAAGGTTATAACTGAAGTTGTGTGAAAATGACTTTTTGGTGCTATTTTCACATAAACTGACTATTTATTTATTTATTTTGTTCTGGGGTCATTTCACACCCCAAGGGTTTCATTTTTGTTGGTGGTTTTATTAATGTAAAAATACTCATTTTCACACCCAAATGTGTGATTAGTTAAAACCCTGCTTCTATTCATTCTGCGCTCACTTGCAACCTAAAGGCAAATATTCAAATGTCTGGAGCTTGACAACTCTGCGGTGGTTTTGGCTGGCGTTTTAAACTCAGAAATTACTGTGGCAAGAAATGGGCAGCACACCTTTGCTTTTGAGGGTTGGGAGGGCTCCAGTGTAACGTCTGGCTCTTAGCATCCAAGGGCGAGTGGTACGGTATTCGGCACACTGAGATGCAACGTGATGCAGTGTTCGGGATGCACGCAGAGCCTCTTGCGGTGCAGTAGCATCGGCAGGTTGTAGTAATAGTCCTGCACCTCTCTGGCACAGATCCAGCACAAGCAGCGTTTGCTCCTCTCTTGCACAGCAAAGAAAGATAGGCCCACAGCGCAGAGGCAGGATTGCAGCCGGCGCTGATCCTCGTGCATCTGGCCTTTGTTTGCTTCCACCTACCCTGTCCTGCGCCCTGCCCTAGCCGGGAGGAGTTAGAGAAGAACATGGAAGTGACTTGCATTGTACCAACACCTCCCCTGTCTGGGCACTGACTGGTTAAAACACAACTTAAATTTCTTTTTTCTGTTTTGGGCTGGTTTCCAGTAGTCTAAATGTGATGTAAAGTCAGTGTCCAAGGCTCTGCATTTTGCAATAAGTGAATGTTTTGCTGATTTCGTGCTAGAATATCTGCAACCACACCAATTTGCATGCCTGTATGTGTGTTAAATTGCTGGCAAAGAAATGCTGAATGCTGATAATTGTATACTGATTTCCAAGGCTGATTTAAGTCATTTTGATTTTTAATTCATTCTGTGCTTCCTTTTTATTTCTGCACATGTGTAGTAATGTCCTGTAATGTTGCTGCCTAAAATAAGCAGTAAGAAATGAAGTTATAAAATGGCTGCTGTAAAAGGAAAATGTCATTTTTTCCCTTTGATTCTTTTTTTTTTTCAGTAAAAGAATAGGTCTCTGCATAGGAAGTGTTCAAAAAAAAAAAAATCCTAAAGAATGCTCAGCATAAGTAGTAAATTCAAATCTAAAGTTCCTAGTTTGGCAGAGGCTTGAATTTTTCTAGGCTATGTTGTTTGTTGGAAAACTGTAGTGTTCCCTTTAACTCAAATTACTGACTTTCTTCAGTGATTGGCTTTGCATGGAAATATCTGTGAAACAAGTTAGTAGTTACAGGCCACTCTGTCTGGTTTAGACAGCTGTGAAACAGCCTGAGAACAGAGCAGGAGGGAGGACTCTTGACTGTGTTGAAACCCGAACTTTTATGTATATTACATTCAGTTATTCTCACAGACGTGTTTTTAGTCCAGGACAAAGGCAAGGTAATCTGAATTAATCTGCTTTTGATGTTTTGCACAGAGAGGTTGTCATCAGGGTGGAAAGCTTTGCTTAGAGAAGTGTTTGACTGGACTAACAGTGCCGCAGTGGCAAACAAATTTTCCAGGATGTAACATTAAGTAAAAGGATGACTTCAGAATTTAGTACTCAGAATCTAGGATCTCTAGTACTCTCAAACTGTTTGCTCATCCCAATGTCTGGTGCAAGAAAAAATAGGTTAATGGGTCCTCTGCTAATCTGGAAGGACACTTTAGATGTCCAGTAACAATGAGGTTAACATTTTTTGAGGGAAAATGGTTAGTCCAGAAGAAAAAATATTAGTCATCAGCCACTACTTAATGTTGCATTCAGTAACCTGCTGCTAACTTATATACAGAAGACAACATATCTGTTGGGTGCCTACAAAGCTCAGAAAAGTGATAATCAGAAGTTTTGCATAAGTTCATTCTTGTTTTTGGGAACTGCTCACCACCCAACACTGCACTCAGGAGTGCCCTGCAGCTCCTCTGGTTTGACATGCAAGTGGGCACTCCACTGGTAGCCTGGTTTGAGATACTGCAGTCGATTTGCACTGGAAGATGTGGAAACCTCTGCTTGTGTGCTGGGAGAAAGAGAGAAAATAAAAGATGCTACGTGCATTAATGGTTATTGTATATAATGAACCCAGTGTGCGTGTTCTCGCTTTCCTTAGTGATATAGTTGGTGTATAAGTATGCACCAGTGCATACTATGTGTCCAAGTTTGCGTCAGTGGTACTGGCAATATCTTACTTTTTTCTTGTAGCCGTGCACACATTAGCAAATACTGAATGCATACAATATTTTTGTTTCCATTTTTATTAGGAATCTGAGAAAAAAGGTTTAATTGAAAGAATCCACATGGTCCAAGAGATCATCATAGCTGTTCAAAGCATCCTAGAAGAAATAGCATCGTTTGGAGAGAGGATTAAAAAGTAAGTGATCAGTTCTTCTTGCCTGGCCGTGATAGGCATGAGAGGAGAGCCAGGAGGATTGTGGTAGGGTGAATTTCTTGCTCCAGAAATGACTACAAGGTGTAGCAGGAGAGACTTGACCAGTCCTAGCACCATTTCTTCTTCCCATGGAGTCTCTTACTTCAAAAACCTTTCCTAAGCAGAGAGAAGAGAAGAAGCCAGATGCTTTACTGGTTGTAGCTCTTATATTCAACCATTTGTCCCAATCCGTGATCTCGTCTGTGTATGTTGTGGTAGGGAGCCACCATGTCAGCACAAGGAAAGGTATTGCTGGAAGACATGAGCACCAAAGTATCAGGCTTCTCTTTGTGCTTCCCCTACAGAGAGTAGGGAAGAATTGATGGGTGGTCTTGCCTTTCCCACGCCCTCCCTACTCTTGCCTGGTTGCAGGGGTTACCGGTCACTTATTTCCCACTCCAGTGTATTGATGCGCTTCTCCTTTTATTGATTTAAGCTATCTGAAGAAGCCCAAAGGGGGTTTTCTGGGTCTTGTTGTGGCGGGAGGCGCACAGAGTATTCCTGGCCTTAGGAGGAAGGGAGGTGAAGAGCCTAAAAAAAATCCCTGCCCACAGACACGCACCAACTTTTAGAATCCAGTCTTTACTGGAGCTTAATTGACCCTTATTGTTTTCTGTTTTGAACACAAAGTGATGGTTTGTGATTGAGCCACACTTTAATGAGGAGCTGGGTTCAAGCTAAAAATACAGCAAGCCCATGTGTTGTGGTTCCACTTCGTGCACCCCAGCTGGGGTGGAAGTGGCCAAGAGACATGTTCCCAGCTATGAACGGGGCACTGTTCTGTCCAGCTGCGTGGCAGGAAGACTCGGAGGGCTTAAGCGCTATTAATTCTTGTATTCATTTTGGTAACAATGGTCTTAAAGAACACATTGGATATTAATGTGGATGCTCGATGTAATTTGAGAAGAATTCCATTGTAACTCAACAGTAATGTACCATTAAAAAAATTGCCACCAAAGTTTTTCTGGAAGTGACAGACTGAATTGTGCTACAGTTTCCGTCTGTCACTCTAGTTATGCAATCTTAGGGAGTTTTAATAGCTTAACTGTACTGAGCTGTTTTGCAGTTTTTTTTACTTTAACTTAAGCTATGTTGATTGATAATGATGGGTCCTCTCCCACCTATCTTTACTTAATATTTAATACATCTATTGAAGCTTAGAAGTAATTCTTTCCCCCTCCTATTAATTTTATCTGTCAAGGGAGGTTCCGCTTATTTTATAGCCTGACAAGTGGTCCACATTCATCCTCTTTTCTTCCTACTCCCCTTCATCGTGATGTGATGAAGTTAGCAGGCAGACTGTATGAGGCAGAGATGCGCAGACCTGTAAATCCACCTACAAACCAATGGGCATCCGTGCAGTCTAGGTATCTCAGTGTTTTGAGGGTACCGAAGAGAGAGCTTACAAGGCCAGGGCACAGGGGGACAAAGTAACTTCAAAGATGCTTTAGCAACAGCTGCTCGTCTGAAGTCCGTCATAGGCTTACAGATGGCAGTGGTCTGGATGAAAGGAAGTCTTGTTTTTTGTTGATTATTGTCCACAATGCTGTCCACAATGCACAAATGTCTGAATAACTGTGAAGATTAGGCCTCTTGAGAGTGTTCTCCCTGGGAAAACTGGTGTGCTGAAGAGGTTTGGACTGCTGCTAACATGCTATAACTGACCCGAGACACCTCCTATATGCAAAACAGTAAGGAATTGATGAAAATGTAAGGAAATAGAGGTAAATTTATAAATACTGAGAGAGCTTTTTGTAGAATATTTTTCCTCAGTGGCGTGAAGAGAGATAGCTCTAACGGCTCTTTTAAGGTTTACCATCCGTCACCACTGCTCCATTCCAAGTTACTGGTGGAGATGGGTCTGGCCGCTTGCCACATTTGAGCTGTGCGCTGGCAAACATCTGATGTTGTCTCTGCCGTGGCCCGAGCAGAGCCAGCTCAGGTGGCTGGCACCTGTGGCATGGTCGAGTCTCCAAATCAGATAATCGGCCCATGAATAATGGAGAGCTGACCAGCGAGTAGAGATGTGTGACAAGTGCGACGTGTATAAGAAGAAACAAAAACAACTCACTACATGACTAACAACTTCTCTGAGCTCCCCGGAGGGTATCCTCTCTCTTTCCTTATCATGATACCTGCCTCTCGGATATCTCCCTTAATCTATTATAGCATCCAGATGCAGGAATCTACTTACCTGCCTCCCAGAGGGTCTGCAATTTACAATGTATTCAAATGCACTGAGCGCTGCAAAGAGGTCATTAAATTATTATTGGGTAAAAGAGTACAGGCAGTCTCCAAGAGCAGTGTTATTGAGGAGGATTTTTTATATTCTTTACAGCACATTCAACTGGACGGTGCCTTTCCTCTCTGTCCTGGCCTGCTTAGTCCTGGCAGCAGCAACGGTTATTTTGTATTATATACCACTGAGGTACATTGTTTTAATCTGGGGTAAGTGCTCCATTACTTAGAGGTGAATAAATATGCTGTGAACCTCTGTTGAAACTGTCATTTCTTTTCCTTGGGTGACCTGATGGTCTGCATTTCTTTTTCTCTGTATGTTTCTGAGAGAAAAAGAGTTTATCTACAGTAAAACTATTTCCAATGTTCTTGTTATTCTGTAAGGAAGTAATTAGCTTCCTTGTGCTGGAGCCCTCAGCTGGAAAGCAGCAGAGAGTTGATAAGAGGTGTTTGAGAAGCTCAAGGACCAAGGCCCAGAGTTCAGGAGCATTCATGTCCTCAGCTGCCCCTGCGGTCAGAGGGTGGTGCAGTGTGCCAAAATACCTTGCAGCCCAAGAGGTCAGTCAGTTCAACAGGAGGCACTGAGCATCTCTTTTTATTAGGGCACGGAAAGGAGTTCTTCAGGACTGTATAAAGGACTATCATTTTCTTGGGATGAAGCAAAAGAGGAGGCTGTAATATGAAAAATTGCTTAGCAGTCTTATGAAGAAGAGTAAGATGGTCTTTTATAAAAGAAAGTGGCCTTCCAGCTGCTGAAGACTTTTCTTATCTCAAAATGGCATTCTGACTTATTTAAGGTGATGTCTTTTATCTCAATCTTGAGGTAAAATGGCTGAAAACATGGGGCAGAGTATCCTCATTGAATCACTGAGGCTCGTTCCCCTCGGCCCTGGGGCACCGGGCACTAGGGAGCCCCCATTATCATTACAAGGCTGAGGCATCTGCTGAGGTCCTGGTGCTTATGGATGCAGTAAAAGGAGGGAATGAGAAGGGGCCAGCATGAAAAGCCAGTGTTGGAGGGGGGAGGATTTAGTCAAAAAAAGAGCAAAGGGGAAGGAGAGAAATTACTGGGAGGAAAAAGTTCAGTGACAAAATATTGCTGCTCTGGTATGGAAGACATGGCGAGTACATGAAAACCCTACGTCCGTTCAACATCATCTAGACTGACAGGGCCTTCAAATATGATATATGTTAAACAACTACCCTGTGGCAAGGCCTCAAAAGACCTTATGATATTTTCTGTTTTTTAAAAATCAGGTACACAGAAAATTGTGTTGGCATTTTGCTACAAGAATGTGGCTTAAAAGCTGAATCTCATGTGAAGCAGGTACAGAGAGAGAGAGAGAGAGAGGGAGAGGAGGAGGCTGGAACAGCCATCGCATTTGAAACCACTTTCAGGGAAAGCTCTAAGAGATTTTGGACAGGGGAGGGATTGGATCGGATGTGGTATTGTGATCCTCATGGGAAATCAGCATTTGAATTTCCTTGCTATTTTTTAAGATGTGCTAGTTGTTCCCCTTCTCCCAGTGAGCTGTTGCTCTCCTGCTGCGCCTTCACCCAGCCACGTTACTAATTCCTGTTTCTCAGTGGGGAAGTGGTGGCAGAAGGCTGCAACCGGGAGAGAGCTAGGAATGGGGCCCAGGTCTCTTGTTTTCTCATCCCAGTCCATGTAAAGAGCTGGTGCTGGCTGAAGGCTGCTCGGCCCTCCCTTTCCTCGTAGGGATCAGAAGACCACCCCTTGCAAACCCCTCAATAAGAGGCAGGCTGTGCTCCCCAGGATATTCCTCCCAGGATAGGGATCTCTGACAGCTGCAGCATGACCAGCTCCACGGAGGATACTGGGAGTGCTATTGCTACAGTTAATAAGCCAAGTTATTCACTTAAAAAAGATCAAAATAAAATAAACCTAATAAGAAGTTTTCACAGTTTCCCACGGCATCAGAATACGGTCAACTCGTCACCTCTGGTTCGGCCAAAAGAGGATAAGCTGTGAAATATGATGAGGAAGGGAAGTTTTTGACAGCTTTCATTTTCAAAAGAAATGGAAGGAAAAAGAACCTTCATCCTGCCCGGTTTCTCCCAGAGCCCTCCAGCTCCCCGGGCATCAGGCAGGCTAGCCTATCTTCTAGGATAGCATATGTAACAATAGTCTGGGCTGCGAATTCAGGTATTCCCCTCACAGTATACCCCTAGAATGAATGCCTGCCAAAATCTTTTTTTGGCCCCATTGTTGATAGCAAATCATCCCCAAAGCAGAGAACTATCTCTATATAATAATGCCCTCTACCTCTTCCAGGAGGCATTTGTGAATGATTCCGCGTGACAGGCAACATGTGCGGGACTTGAAGTCCTAGGCACTGTTTTCACACTAATTTTTACTTGTGAATTCTTCTTCCCTTTTCCACTTTGCCTGAACAATTTAAGGGCGGGAGGGGGAAGGCGGGGAATTCGAAAGAGGTTATGTTATTTTGTTTGCATTTTTTTTTTTTCCTAGGCATAAATAAATTTACTAAGAAGTTTAGAAATCCCTATGCCATCGATAATAATGAGCTGCTAGATTTCCTCTCCAGGGTACCATCCGATGTTCAAAAGGTAAGTAATGAGTGGACACCGCCAACAGAGGCAGCAAGCCGCACTCGGGGCGGCCGGGCGCTCTGCTTGGGGAATACAATGCCGGCGCGCTTTTGAATAGCGGAGATAAGGTAGAGGGAAAATCCATAAGGGGGGAGGGGTGGATGTTAGACGAGAGGAGAGCCAAAATCCTTTGTCAGAAGCATGAGATGATTGCAGAAAAATTATCCTGAAAAGACCTACTTAAAAATGATCCGGGAAATCGCACGGCATGGTTGCAGTACTATGGTTTCCGTCACCTTTCTGCTCCGGTATTTGTACAGAGGAAGAGGAAAAATAGTCTCTTTGATAGAGATAGCCATCTGAAAGGCTTTACTGAATTCTCCCTTTTCCTTGAGCCTGGGGAGGAAGTGGTGTAGGAATTATTTCTGTGCTTGCGGTGATTTTGCTTTTTCACATTAGCCATCCCTTAAAACGCCACCCACCTTGAACTCCGGGCCTCCCTGGGACAATGCTGCTCTCACCTTTTCCCTTAGAGAGAGCCTCAGGATGCATAAAAAATACTCTGCAGTTGATAAGATCGGTCTTCTGCTATTATGGAACTATAACTTTTAATCTAACCAGAATCTCTTCTCCCCCAATTTCAGTCAAGTCTTGTCTCTCTTCGTGTGTGTATAAATACATATATATGCGTGTGTGTATGTACAAATATATATATATATATATTTTTTTTTTTTTAAACAACAACACCGTATCCAGTAATCCTGCCTACCTTCCTGGAAATTATGTGAACAATAAGTCCTTTAGAATGTCAAGATCTGTTTGTTTCCCTTGGAGGAAGGAAAATAGTCTTGCTGGGTAGTGAGCCACAAGACAAAGGTTTTTTTTCTTTGGTTTTGATCAACTGGGATCTGTGTCCTAAGGCCCTGATTCTGATGCCCTGGATCCCACTGGCATTATACCTTCCTCTGCGAATCGTTGTACTTGCACAGTGAGGTGCTACTCCCTGTGAAGAAGGGGATCACGATCTAGCCTGTAGGGATTTTACTCTGTTGGAGATTGAAAAATAATTACCTCCATGCCATGTCGAGGCATCTGGTAGAAACAGGGTTGGAAAGGCTTATGGTGACATTTATTTCAAGAGGCCACCAGATTGGCTGATGGTTATACTAATAACTTGAGAGAAATATCTCCAGACTGGTGGGAGGAAAAAAGCTAAACAGAAATAATCATAGAGACATTAAGCTTTAGTGTGTTTTTATTTTGTGATTGCTCTCATAGAGTACACTGGATTTGCAGTGATGGTTTGCATATGCCCTTTTAATGTTTATGTTTAAAGATAAGCTGCTTTTCTATTTATGCTTTATTTAACATTTACATTTATAGCATTTCCTTGAGTGGTTTCTATCATTTTGGGAACCTTTGAGCTCTCTGAGGAAAATGATAACTATTTTCTATGAGGGAGGACTGATAAAGTTCCTCGGATGGGGCTGACCTTCCTAGAAGAGTTTTCCACTAGTGCTAAAAATAGTGAGCCTGTGTGACAGCCGCACGCCCGTCTAGTGAAAGGCACCCGCAGCAGTTCCAAAGCCTGTCTGTGTCTGCTTCGTTGTACATGCTATTAACGCATCATCGTTTCACTTTGGTGCTACAGTGAGTTAGAAAATACCTCTGTCTGTACTCTAGCCATTTATAACCCACATGTGCTGGAGAGAAGACAGAGCAGCAGGGAAAAAGATGGCACGCTTAGCAAAAGATTCCCACGATTTCAATGGGAAATCTAGACTATTTGCTATCGGGATTACGCCATCCTTCAGTTTATCACAGATGTTTTAACCGTTATATTGTACATGAAATTGTTCTGAAAGGTGAAGGCAGCTTTGTGCAGGTTCTGTTGGGGAAATTTTTTTTTTTTTCGAGATAGTTAAATATGCCAGCATCCCAAGGTCTGTGTGCAGTTTTGGAAACTGTCATAGTACTGCATATTGGGATCCACTTGCATTGTAACTCCTGAGAGAAGTTTATTAAACTTATAAGTTAATGCCAGGAGAAGAAGAAAAACAACTCCCAAACCGAAACAAACCCAAAAGATCTATTGTGCACTGCTGAAATCAGGTAGAATGCCATGTATCTCATTAGAAAAAATCTGCTTTTAATATTTTCATTTCAAGAAATGATGCATGACTTCTCAAATCCTTCCTGCAATTAATCCCCCGTGTTCCTGTGTTTAGAAAATGATTCATTACTTTTGAACCTTCCTTAGTTTCCCTTAGTTGGTCCTCGGGGAGCCATTAACACACACTGTAGTGAGCTAGAGTTACCTAACTGCAAACGTCATGTCTATTTGTTTTTACAGGTGCAGCATGCTGAATTGAAACCATACAGCAGCTCCAGTCCCATTAGGAAGAAACGGAGCGCGCTATAGGATGCCGAGGGATTTTGGAATGCACCATCTCCCTCTGTAGCGCGCCCCCACGCTCTCCCCCCTTCCCTTCTTTTTTGGTTCGGAACAACACTATCATCTCTGCCGCAGACTTTTTTTTTTTTCTGGAAGGCATGGTTTTTGATAAACACCTATCCCTGAGTCGTCTGTCTTTTTGGCACAGAGACCTACCCCGAAAAGAGCAGGGTGGGATGTCTGAAGTAGCTGGTGGGGTGGGGAGGAGTATGGGAGGGGATGGTGCTACTGGGTTCCTTTTTTTCTTTTTTTTTTTCTTTTTCTTGCTTCGGTTGCTGAGGCAAGGCTGGCTGTGGCAGCACTCCCTGTTTTATGTAGGAAGAGATAATTCCGCTTAGCGTAGCAGATCAGCTGAGCTGATGTGAGGAGATGCTCTGAACCGGTTTTTAACATATCCAACAGATTTACATTAAGATATGAGAGCTATTCTTTTCTGAGTTAAATCACTGTGCCTAGAAAGGTTTAAGCTCTGAATTAACGAGTCTTTGATACTCATCTTCTGTTCGAGCAGTGTACGTTTTTAAAAGTTTTTTTTAATCATAATTAGCAGAAAGAGCTAGAAGCTCCAGCACTATCTCGATATTTCATCCAGCACTTTCGGGTTTTTTTCTTTTTTATTAAGGGAGGGGGGGAAGCCCACCCTGCGGTTAACTCCTCAGATACTGAGATCATGGGAGATCCATTGCGGGCAATGGATGTGTGAGAATCTGCTGCCGTGAACGGATTAAGAGGGCATGGAAAAGCCTCACTCACTGACCTGAAAAGACTCTCTTGACTTACCTTTTATAATTCCATCTCATCAGATATTTTCAGCATAGCTGTTGTTTTTCTGTCTAAATCCAGAGGGGTCAACACTACAGCTCTAAGAAAAAAATACTTTATGGCTTGAAAGAAACAAGTGCTTGTGCAAAAAGAGAGCTCAGTGCCCAAAGAAGTGGTTGTGCAATAGTGTGCAGGCTTTGGCCCACCGCTTATGTCTTCTTGGAGTCTCTCCTGGCAATTCATAAGGAAGGCATGAGAAAATGGAACCATATGCAAACCGAGCAGTGAAGAGACGTGAAAAAGGACCCCATTTTCTACTTTGAGGATAATGCAATTTCTTGCTTACTCACCTGTCATTTAACTATTGTGCTTTTGCTTTATAAAATTTGGATAACTGATGTTGTTTGACTGGGGAAACTTAAGATTCAGAATCACACATCAGCCTGCCTACTTTTGGTGGGACTGTACCCTTTAGTATTTTAGGTGCTGTAAGATGTTGTGGAGGTGGCTTGCCACCGCGATGAGTCTTTGGCAGCAAGAGAGCTGCAGCTTAGTTCCTGTGAGTCCCAGGCAGGTGTCTCCACCAGCATCCCCTGGAGTGAATCACAGTGCACAGAAATGGAGACCGGTAGTAACCAAAGTAACACTTTGGAAACGATCTGATTAAAGGTAGAACTGGGATTTCTTTGCTCACGAACTGGAGAGCTGAGTGGAGTCCTACTGTGTTGTTCAGTAATGCCACCTTCTTGTGGGCCTATCGAATGAATTTGAAGAAGTAAAACGAAAGACCAGAGTATCTTCCACTGGATTGTTTTCCAGGTTCAGTGATTTTCCACAAAGTTGATTCGTCAAAGTAATAAGACTCACCGTGCCTCTGAATAAGGAGAAGCACGTTTTTTGTAGATTTAATTTGATAAAGAATGTGTTTTGCTCATGTAAAGGCTATGTGTATCTGCATATGAAAAGACAGGAAAAAGACTCCCTGTTAAAAAGCTACAAAAATGCCTCTATGTGTGCTTGCGAACCCGTGCATATACACATTTGTGTGTACAGAAGAGTTCATGTATAATGTATTTATAGGTAGTGTGTGCAGGGGGAAATGGATGAGTATATAGATTTAAAAACCTTCAGAGAGAATGTTTATGAAAAATGCCAAAGATTCTAAAGCTTATCATCTTGTGTCTGTTCTTCTTCATATTGTATCTTTCCCGGCATGTGTCTCTGGCTGAGCCAGGTCTCTGCTTGATTTGATTTACTTCAAGTTAATGAAGCTGGTTGGAAAGAGCCTTGTAGAAATTATAAAATCTCTAGTAAATCTACATCCATGTAATAGTACATACAATAGAGGTCCACTCATCCTTTTTGTTAAACCAGTTTCTCAGTCTTCTGTGTAAACAATGCCTCATTGTCTCACTTTAAACTATCGTGTAGTTTATCATGCTGTAGTCTTGTCATCTTTTTAATGACCAAAGTCAGACATTTTTAAGTAGACACGTGAGATCTGATCATTCATTTGAGTAAAAACATTCAATTGCAGCAAAAATTGTTTATTTATTCAGAAGTTAGGACTGGTATTTGAGTAGCTCTTTCCTATAGAATTTTCCACATGGCACTGATTTCTCTTCAGGAGACAGGGTGATGTCTTTTTTTAAATGTAGATATGCTGTGTTTCAGAATAATTTGTATTAGATTATTATGCTGGAGCCATACCAGCTGAAGAATTTGGGATGGCCCAGTGCCTATATATGTTGCAATGAGCTCTGTTATGATAAATGCTGTTTGAAATGCAATAAACATTTGAGGTTAGGCTGATGCTTTTAATTTATCTGGGTTAGGATGTATGTGTCCATTCATTGTAAAATGCTTACTGTGCTATAGTATTTAGTGTCTGACTAGATAAGGAAGTACATCACTTGACAAATGGAGTGCAGCATAACAACTAGTGCCGAAGGTTACTTGAAATGGAAGCGATGCTGCCGTAGGAGATGAGGTAAAAGGTTTCCCCACTTGCTTGAAGTTCTTTGACTATCCCCTAGCCCCTACATTAAGGAAAAAAAAAAAGAGGGGTGGGATTTGCTCCACAATCCCATGGCCAAACTCTTTGTTAAGAAGAACTTTAGTTTGATTCTGAAAGCAAGAATGGTTGTGGTTGTTGTGTGTGTCCCTTTGCCCGTGTGAATTATGCATTTTTACATTGTTACTGTATTCAGCGTGGGAATTATAAACTTGGATTTTTAATTTTATAGGCACTTCAGTGCACCAGTATGTACATTTATGTTCAAAACTGTAAGCCTAGAAAGCGTTGAGGAATTTAAATCTAACTATGAGTATTTTGAATGACTCTAGATTTCAGAATCATTCAGATATGTTATCAGAATATCAATAAGCATGTTGACTACTTGTGCGGCATGTAAATAATTGGATTTGACATATATGAGCAAATGAGATATATGCTTACGTTTGCCCAAACGTAAGCTGCTGCTGAAAAGTTGGTTTATTGAATAACTGTGAATAGGGCTGAGAACTGTTTCCCTATGGATCGCTGTCAGGAGAACTCAGTCACTGAAACACACATCTTGGAAAGCAAGCGAATGACTGAATAAAGCTAAGTCGGGGGAAATGTCACATACACCTTTTCTTTTTTTTTTTTTTTTCCTTCTACTTGCAAAGCTTTGATTTTAACCTTCAGCCATAGCAGTTTATGCCTCTGCTTTCCCTCTCAGTTTGCCATCCATGTTGAGCTGACCTCCCTTGAAGCCGCCTGCAGAGCACTGCAGAGGTCAGGCTCTGTACTGATCTGTGGCCCCTCACCTGAGGGTACTGCCAGGTAGCCACCATCCGGTGGTTTGTAGAAAAGTGCCTGTCCCATAGAAATTAGCCGCTTATTAGCTGCGTGAGATAAGAGTACTGACAGCTTCCAGAACTGGGCTGTCCCACTAGAAAAGAGGGACTTGCCTTTTAATTTCCTGGGGCTACCTTCTTTTTAATTCAGAGCTATTTTCCCATCAGACCAGTAGATTTACACCAGGAAGGAATTTAGCTGCTCTGATGTATTAGGAAAAAAAAAATCCACAAAATGCATTCTAATCAAACCTTAACCTTTAGATTCTCAGTCCTTTAAACTAAGTTCATACACTGGGAAATGTTAGCTTTGACTTTAGAGGCTGTAGCATGTGTTGGAAGTGACTCCTCTTCTGAGTTAGTACTGTACTTGTATTTTATCTGTAAAGCTACATGTGTCAGTGCCCTGGTGCATCCACCACCTTCAAATCCTACAGGGACATGATAAGAATATCCACTCTTTAGTGTCCATAAAGTTAGCAACTCAGAAGGAAGCTGAGATGCTGCAAGTGACTGCTATATTGCAGATGGAGTGTTCTAATTGTTCTCAAACTGGGAAAAGTTAGGCCAAGTGAAACTCCATCATTTCTGGATAAAGTGTCTGCCAGGTGACTCATCGGTGGGGAAGACCCTCAGTTGCCACAACAATTCTATAGTTCCAAGGAAGATGTGATCAACAGATATGTTTGTGATTAATGAAAGTATTCATAAGCAGGTAGAAATTACATTAGAGTGAAAACACCCACCTCTTGAGGTTATACCCTTTTAAGTCTGTTTTTTTCAATGATGCTTTGACTCAGTGCAGCATTTCAAAAGAATTTAGAAGGTCATTTCATTCTGAATAAATGATTTGTGCTGTTTTGACGTGAATCATGAAACTGAGTATCAGGAAGCAGGAGGCGGCGTTCTAGTCTCGGTGTGTGGAACAGCAGCAGCATCTGGGCAGGCTTGGCTTCAAAATTCTCAGTGTGGCTTCAACCTGGGGGCTGGTGATTCTTGTTAAATGTTACATAGAGGAACATTGGCAGTCGGTTCCTGGGTGTTGGATTGAACACCTGCAGTTTCCCTCTTGGCTGAACAAGAGAGATACCTCTTGCATGGAGGAAGAAAGTAAGAGCTGGAAGACATGCTGGCTTAAACTTCATTTGAGCTGATTTCCAGTGCAAACCAGCCTTCTAGCCTCTTGAGGACCCCCTTGCAGAAGGGAAGTAGGGCAGACTCATAGATTGGGCACATATGTCTGTTTCTGGATCTTCCAGGGCCAACCATGACCAGATTAGATAGTGAACAGATTGACCCTCGCACCAGTTATCACTGGCTGGTGGAGTGGCTCCATGAAGCCATGTATTCAGCTGGCATACGTGGCCTTCAGTCCAAGAAGGAAGGGTAAGACACTGGGCTTTGGTGAAATGATGGGTAGATGGGTGGAATGTGCTCTAAGGGTGGCTTAGCTATGGATTCTCCTCTTCACCTCATTTGTTGGGATCAAATTTCTAGCAAATGAATAAATGCATTTTCTGCCCTTGATCTCTGTGTTTTTGATGAGTTACTTGTGCCTCTCACTAGGAA